CTGTGGATCCTTTGTGGAGTAGGGCCTTCCTGGAAGAAGTGGGTTGGAGGAGACATTGAGGGTTATATCTGGTCTCAGCTTCTGTCCCAAGCTCACTACTTCCTGACTGCTGGTCTGATGTAAAGTTACACTTCACTGCAGTTAAAAGTGGCACTCACTGCTACGGCTTCCCAGTCATGATGGGTCAAACCCTCTCAACCATGAGCCAAAATGGACCCTTCTCTTTTGTTAAGTTGTTTGGTCACAGCAGTAAGCAAAGAAACTAGTACAATTTGTCTCATAGATTATTGCATTTCTTTAGCTCGGCTTTCCACTGTCCTTCCAGCTCCTCCAGGGTAGGATCACCAGTCAGAGCTCTTGTCTCATCTCCAGGGTCCTCCATGGTCTGGTCCCCCTCCCTCTTCTTCTAATTGGCCTCTTCCTTCTGGATTCTACCACAACTGTCTTCCCTCACTTCCTTGCATGCAGCCTGGCTCCTCCCACTTCAAGGCCTGTGCATCAGCCCTCTCCTGCTTCTCTGGCCCCTGCTTGTCCTTCAGCATGGGCATTGCTGGGGAGTGGGTTATAAACGCAGAATAGGAAACTTTAACAAGTTACCCAGAATGTGTAGGATGGGGCATTCTCACCAGGTGTATGCCTGAGATAAAGGGGACACACTATTTCCAGAAGAAAAGAAAGGTGCCGGACAATCAAAATAAAGGCTTGTCCACCATAATCATCGGTGTGTCCCCACAACAGAACTCTGTTGACTAGCTGCCTTGTTCTGCAGTCAAGGCCATGCATTGTGGAACATTCCTTTACACTGTGTAAATATATGTCACTGTGATTGGTTTAATAAAAAGACGAACAACCAATAGCTAGGCGGGATCTTAGGGGCAGAGAGAACCCTGGGAAGAAGAAGGGCGGAGACAAGAAGCCAGCCAGAAGCAGAAGAGTCGGACACACAAAATGGGGATACCGGTAAAAGCCACGTGGTAGATAGACCGTAGATTAAAAGATATGGGTTAGTTTAAGTTATAAGAGCTAGTTAGAAACAAACCTAAGCTATCAGCCAAGCTTTCATAATTAATAATAAGTTTCCGTGTCATGATTTGGGAGCTGGCAGGCAGGACAGAAAAAATCCTCCTATAGCCATGAGCTCAGATGTCTACAAGCCCTATGAATGAATCAGTGTCCTAGTTTCTTTGTTTGTTGGTTTGTTTAGTTTTTGAGACAGGGTCTGGCCTCAAACTCAGAGATCTGCCTGCCCTCTGCCACCACACCTCTGGATTTTTGAAAGCATCTTTATTTTAAAAATGTCCAGTCCCTGCAGAATCCTCAGTGTCTTGGCCCAGCTGCTCATCCTGATTCTGACACAGAGAATAATGGGGTCAATACAGAAACAACCATGGAGTTCACCGGCCTTCTTTGTTTGGATTCTGATCTGCCCACGAGCCTCAGAGCTGGAAATCTTCAGTTATTTCCTAGACTCAGAAGGCTCTAAAAGGCTGGGGAATAGAGATTGTTGCCCTCCCTGAATCAGCTCAGTGTAAACACACCCTCAGTGCACATTCTCTGGTGTTATGACTCCCCTGGGGCTCGTGTTAGCTCACCCTTTTCCCATCAATCCTTTCAACCAAACACTGTCAGTGGCACCAGGCCCAATATCTGTTACAGGCTTTTTAATAAGAAAAAAAAAAATCCAAAAATCCCTGAAAATAGCCAGTCTACTGCAGAACTAATTTGTGAATTTTGTCTTCAGCTGCTTCAAGGTCATCATCTCCAACCAGGAAGTGTGATCCTGAAAGCCCGGTTAATTAGCATCTGACTGTGATGAGAAATCTTAAAATCCCGGTTATGTCCTGTCAGGAAGCGCTGCTCCAGTGTACTTCCAGACCTGTCTCCTCTCGTGGTTCATAACGCGGCTGAAAACCTCGGGCTAACCTGGTTTTGCACATTTTTCTTTTGCACCTTTAGCTATTTTCATTGAGTTTTATTTTTGACTTTTCATCTCGAAGTCATTCACCTTTCTTTAGTGCTCATTGTATAAATTTAAATCTAAGAAACATTTAAGAAAAAATGTTCTTTTTTTTTTTTTTTAAACTTGTTTAATGCTTTTACAAGAGAACCAACCACTTTGGTGAATTCTGATGCCCGCCCACTTATGAAGTGTTTGGGGTGGGTGTGCTGGAATTTAAACACAAAACATTCACAGGAAAAAATCTTTTTCTGGAAAAATTACGATGCACTCACAGAATCCACAAAGAACACTTAGACCTGTACTTCCTAAGCATGGCTACACATCTGATCATCAGACATATATGGGGAACTTAAAAAAAAAAAATCCTTGGCTCTCATCTCATCTAGTGACCTTGAACCTGAAGATAAGAAACAAAACCTACAGATGAAGATAAGCCTTGGGGATGATAATTTGCTCCGTTTCCTCATGCAGCTCTGACCCACAGCTGAGCTGAGGAGCCACTTGCCTAGTTCATCCTTGTTTGATGTTCCCTTCCGCAGGATTCTAACAAATAAATGTCTATCTGTAGGGATGTCTAGATTTCTTATTCTCCTCCAATGAGGAGAGCATCCACCTTTTAAGGCAGACCTTCCCAGGCCTGCTTTGTTTGATTTTGTGTTTAGTTGTGTGAAGGATAGGAAGACAGGCCAGAAACCTCTCCCCCGGGGATCCAGTTTGAGTGTCCTGCTGGCTGAGAGTCAATAAACTTCAACACTACTGATGGAACCCAGAATGCCTAGAGAGGCGATGCTCCTTTTCCTGAAGACATCCCAAACAGGATGTTCAAAACAACCAAGAATTCTGCTTCCTTAGGGCTGGAATGTCCGTGGCCTTGAGCTGAACTGTGTTAGCATTCCCTTCTCATCTCTAACTCCTAGCAATGCAGCTTATAAAACCATCTTAGAGTTTCATTTACAGAGAAAAATTCTTTAAGTCAAGGTCACTATGTAGATTGGCTCAAATACTCCTACTTGTTTTTTAAACTTTTCTTCATCTTTACGCCTTATTGTAAATTACATCCTTTGAACAAGGTAACTTGGACCACAGAGTCATATCTATCTATCTATCTATCTATCTATCTATCTATCTATCTATCTATCTATCTATCTATTATCTATTATCTATTATCTATTATCTATCTATCCATCCACCCATGTGTGTATGGCCATTGTAGAGACACCTAATGAGACCCTTCCTTGAGAATCCTATATCTACACTTGGGTGTGTTTGGTCCTTTTCCTGTGAGTCTTTCTCTCTGAAAGCCTCCACTTAAATATAAAGCATGTCCTAACTCTTACCTACATTGAAACTCCCCTCTCCTTCGTAGTCAAGGGTCTAGCTTTAATTGAGTGGAAGTCCCCAAGGAGGGAAATTCCCCAGAGTGTTGGGGGCATTTCTGAGCTCTGTCCCATCACCACTGGTGCTTCCACTCAAAGCTCACATGTACCAGGTGAGCTACATGCCCAGCCCTGCTCTTGCTTTGAAGTTTTTCTCCTGGTGCCCCGAAACGCCCCTTCACTGATCTGGCTTTGCCCTCTGGCACTCCACAGACCCTGTCTGGTCTTGATTTTCAGAGACTTGGAGGGCATAATTTGTTTCTTGATTCTAAAGGGTGAATATTCCAGGGCTTTCACCCCCCAGGATCTTGCACCAGCCTCTCCTTGCCTCCCTGGTCCTTGTGACTTCCATGGAAAGATCTAGAAGAGACACACCAAGTGTAGAGTGTTGGTAAAGTTTATCACTGAGCAGTACGGGATTAGGTAACGGCCAAAGGAACCATGGGAGAGCAGAACGCTCCTAAGGGTGAGAGCAGGACAGCGGTCGGAGACCACTGTGCTGACCCATCTCTGGGGAGGCTTTATAGTATTTCTCAAGTCTCTAGAGCAGGCAGCTGTTTCTGAGAAATGTCTGTCCAGGTGATAGACAAGTCCACTTGGATTCACTATTAAAAGAAGGGAGAATGGTATGTCTTTGCTCTTTACCAGAAAGCTTGAAGCTAAGCAATATCTTGTAAGATAGTTGTTTAGATATCTATTAATGACACCCCACCCCAACCCCAGGCGGTGCAGAGTACTGTCTTCACCCAGGATCAGAGCTATGACAAAGATCACACTCCTATGACCCGTAATAAAGTCCCGCAGTTTCAAGTCTGATCCTATAAGCTGTTGATTATGAGGGTGGTGTCCCCATTCCCGATGACCTTCAACTCTGCTAATTTGTAACTAGCTACCTAACACATCCAGGGCTCTTCACACGATATGGCCTCCAACCTTTCCCCATGGGAGTCACTTCCATTGTCTTCTTGACTGCACTGTAGGTTGGTTTTTAAATGTGTGTCATTTTTAAAATTTCCAGTTCCTGCAAACCTCTCAGTGTCTTGGCCCAACCGTCCATCCTCAGTTCAAAAACAGAGACTAATGAGGAGTGTAGAATAAACAACGTTGCCCGTTTTTGTTTGGAGTGTCTTCGATCTGCTCGTGATTCTCAGAGCTGGAATTTTCAGTACTTTTCTAGTCTAACAGGCTCAATAGTGCTGATCAATCATCACTCCATCAACTAGGTCTGTCAATGATTGACATTTAAGGACTGGTCTCCAGGATGGAGCCGGGCTGTGATCCTGGGAAAACCCTGCCCCTCTTTGGGTCCCTCTTTCCTTTGCCAAAGTTATGTCCTTCGGCTCTCAGACATGAGCCTCATACTTCAAGGGAGACCAATCAGAGACCTCTGGAGGGTGCAGGAGGCTGGGCCTAGGATGGCGAGAAAGGAAATCTGGGTGCCGGGCCAAGTCTCCTCAGTAGTGGGCGGTGCCGGGAGCGGGCGGAGCTTAGCAGGCAGCGGAACCTCATTGGTTTCCCAGCGGATGCTCGGAGGCGGGGCCACACCGCAGCAGGACAGACCCGAGAACGCTAAACCGTGCTAGGACTTGATCCTGAGACTCCGATTCTGAGCCCGAGCCAGCCGCAGGTAGCTACCGCCGCCCTCCCTCCGCGCTGGGGCACGCCACCCCTTCGGTCCCCGAAAGGCAGGTCTCCCCCGGGTGTATTTGCAGGGCCCTTTCCCTCCCCGTTCCTATCTGTCCCTGGGGGACACTGGATGGGCTGGGAGAACACAGACCTTCCAAACCTCATCTTGGTTCTGTTCCTTCACCCTCGCCCACCTGGCCCACTGTCGCGAGAGCCACTGGCCATAGTGGAGAGGCTGGGACCCGAGCACCCTTCGCTCGGGTGGGTGTTCCCGGGTCCCCGACTGCAGGCCTTTAGATCAGTGGGCACCGAGCATCCGGTATTCGGGAGGAAACGCAAACTTAGGTCTTTGGGAATCTAAGGATTAGAGGCTTCTGTACTTTCTTAGAGTAAAGTGGAATAACCTGTGACCAGCGATTTTACTATGCGCAAAATGAAAGCAGTGGCTTGGATCCTGAGCGCAGAGTCTTGGTGTGACCTAAGAGGCTACCCTTTACCTGGGACCACCCTCGTTCCTGTCCCCTTAGCCCTCCTCCAACCTCACTTCACACACACACACACACACACACACACACACACACACACACACACACACACACACACACAGAAGGCTTTCGGATCAACATTGATTTCTGTGTGGCTAGGGACCTAGCTGGAGTCTTGCTTTCCTGAATGAATTCTTTGTTCCTCTCCCTGCACATGGGAGAGAGGGTGGAAAGTGCTGGGGGTCAGGGGTCAGGTTGGTGCAATTACATTTTGCTGCTGGGTGGAGCAAGACTCACGTGAGACAGAAAAGGCACAATGATTCTGTCCTGGCCAGAGATTAACTGTATAACTGAGTAGGAACTAGAAACTCTACTTAACAGTCGTTGAGGGAATTATCGCAGTTGTTGTAAAGTCTGCTGTTTTCAGAGGCTGGTTGACAATACACAGACCTGTCTCAGCCACTTATTGACTTGTACCCCAGAAGGCTCAGCCCCTTCCCACTGTGATTCGGGCTGTGCCAGGCTGGTTTCCAAGACCTTGAGTAGTCCGATGCCCACCCGAGTGAGGTGTGTCAGATTTTATACAGGGAAGACCCCATTCAACGTCACCCTAGGGGGCTCTACAGGTGAGGGAACCAAAGTCCCAGATCTCTAGGGTTCTTGCTCAGATCCCAGGCCAGTTCCTCAGTGGCCTTTGTGGAAATCTCTACGTTCCCTTGCCTGTCATTCTGTGTGTCTATTGAGTAGCTACCGTGTCTTGGGCATTATTCTAGGCATCAGGACCAAACATAACCAGAGGCCTGAATCTGATGGGAGAGCAGAATTAGTAAAGGGATAAATAAGTGTTTGTGTTGCTGGTTTGTTTTGTTGAGACGGAGTCTCTGAAGACCAGGCTGGCCTTGGACTCCCAAGTGCTTGTTTGGTTATAGTCGGGAGTTATAGCATCCAGCCAGATTTAGCCAGAACTAAGGAAAGAAAAGTTCTTAGTTTCTCTTGGCTTTGCCTGTAGCCACACTAAAATTTTATAGGAAAGGTGAAGCAGAGGCCAGGAGGTGTGCTTATGCAGATTTTAGCTGTGATACAAATTATTGGAACTCTGAGTATCTTCTGAGGCTCCAGAGTATTGTCATTCTCAGAATGGGGCTTCCGGGGGAAATTCTGTTCCTCAGTGTCCCTTCCCTCTGAGTCTGTAACACTAGCAGTGGATGGAATGACAGCAACAGAGATCCCTGCCCCGGAGGAGCTTAGCCGTACTAACACACACATGTAAAATCTGTGTGTGGCCTGTGAGACTGAGAAACAACAATGTGGTGGGCCAGAGGGCAGTTCCGGTGTTCCAAGGTTGGTTTGTTTTTGTTATTGTTTGTTCAGACGGAATCTGTCATGTGTCAGAGTTTGTCTTCAAATTCACTATGTAGCCAATGATGGCCTTGACCTCCTGATCTTCCTGTCTCCACCTCCTAAGTGCTGGGGTTACAGGGATGAGCCCCATCAGTGCCTGAACCCAGGGCTTTGTGCGTGTTAGGGAAGAATTCTTAGCAGCTGGGCTATATCCCTGTCCCAGTTCCTGATTCTTGTGTTCCCAGACAGGGAACTGAGCAGAAACACACAGTTATAGCAGAAGCAGAGGCAGGCAGGCTATTAAGGGACGGCTCATTTCTAAAGAGGAGGGGGCAGGGCTGGAGAGAAGAGGTTTAGCTGCTCAAACATAAAGGTGCACAGAGGACCAAGGGTTTCCATAGTGTGGGCTTTTTCTCAAACGCTCTATCTATCCACATACAGCTTCATGCCTAGCATGCCTCATTAGCACCTTCAATTTCCATGCAGAAATTGTGATGAGCCATAGGTCAGCTCTAGGTCCCGGACACAGCAGCAGGAGGACCAAGAAGGACCTTGCAGAGCAGGTGATGTTTGACAAGAGACCCAGAAGAAGTGAGAGAGCGGGCCAGACTTGAGAGGCACATGATGGGTAGCCTAGAGAGTTATTCAGGCCTTTGGACCCCACAGCCTGTGTTTTAGGAGGCCACGCCCCTTGGTTAGCCCCGCCCACTCTCACCTGTTCACCGTGTTTTTTCCAGTCGGCTCCAAGTTTCTCAGCATGTTGAGCATCCGACTCTTGACTCCCCGGCTGCTCTGCCTCCAGGGCAGAACTACCTCGTACTCGACCGCAGCTGCTCTCCCGAACCCAATCCCAAACCCAGAGATTCGCTACAACAAGCTGTTCATCAACAATGAGTGGCATGATGCAGTCAGCAAAAAGACCTTCCCCACAGTGAACCCCACCACAGGCGAGGTCATTGGGCATGTGGCCGAAGGTGACCGGGCAGATGTGGATCTGGCTGTGAAAGCCGCTCGGGAGGCCTTCCGCCTGGGGTCCCCGTGGCGCAGGATGGATGCCTCAGAGCGGGGCCGGCTGTTGAACCGCTTGGCTGACCTTGTGGAACGGGATCGCGTGTACTTGGCCTCACTGGAGACCCTGGATAATGGGAAACCATTCCAGGAGTCTTATGTCTTGGACCTGGATGAAGTCATCAAGGTGTACCGTTACTTTGCTGGCTGGGCCGACAAGTGGCACGGTAAGACCATCCCTATGGATGGGGAGCATTTCTGCTTCACCCGGCATGAGCCAGTGGGTGTCTGTGGCCAGATAATCCCATGGAATTTCCCATTGGTCATGCAGGGCTGGAAGTTGGCCCCAGCACTTGCCACAGGCAACACCGTGGTCATGAAGGTGGCAGAGCAAACCCCACTTTCTGCCCTGTACTTGGCCTCCCTCATCAAGGAGGCAGGGTTTCCCCCAGGAGTGGTGAACATCATCACTGGCTATGGCCCCACGGCAGGAGCAGCCATAGCCCAGCATATGGATGTGGATAAAGTCGCCTTCACCGGCTCCACCGAGGTGGGCCACCTGATCCAGAAAGCGGCTGGTGATTCCAACCTCAAGAGAGTCACCTTGGAGCTGGGCGGGAAGAGCCCCAGCATTGTGCTGGCAGACGCTGACATGGGTCATGCTGTCGAGCAGTGTCACGAAGCCCTTTTCTTCAACATGGGCCAGTGCTGCTGCGCAGGCTCACGGACATTTGTGGAAGAATCCATCTATCCCGAGTTTCTCGAGAGAACCGTGGAGAAAGCCAAGCAGAGGAAAGTAGGGAACCCCTTCGAGCTGGACACCCAGCAGGGGCCTCAGGTGGACAAGGAGCAGTTTGAACGAATCCTGGGCTACATCCGGCTTGGTCAGAAGGAGGGGGCAAAACTTCTCTGTGGTGGGGAGCGTTTTGGGGATCGTGGCTTCTTCATCAAGCCCACAGTCTTTGGGGACGTGCAGGATGACATGAAGATTGCCAAGGAGGAGATCTTTGGGCCTGTGCAGCCTCTGTTCAAGTTCAAGAAGATTGAGGAAGCGATTGAGAGAGCTAACAACACCAGGTATGGCCTGGCTGCGGCTGTGTTCACCCAAGACCTGGACAAGGCCATATACTTCAGCCAGGCCCTGCAAGCTGGGACTGTGTGGGTGAACACCTACAATATCGTCACCTGCCACACACCGTTTGGAGGCTTTAAGGAATCCGGCAACGGGCGGGAGCTGGGGGAAGATGGGCTTAGAGCCTACACGGAGGTGAAGACTGTCACCATCAAGGTTCCGGAGAAGAACTCCTGAGATTGGCCACCTTGGAGGTCCAGCCATGTCCTGTGGTGCCACAACATCTAGCCAGGGGATGGAAAAAATTGATTTTAGCCCGAGTTCCAAATGAAGTGTTCCAAGGAGTGTCAACAAATAAAGTGGTTAAATCAGAGCTCTTCTGTTTAAAGCAGAGATGGTAGCTGGGCTCAGAGTGCTACCCACCTTGTCCCCAGGTCCCAACCTCACTGATGACTTTCAAGTTATCGCCAGGAAACCTTAGGAGTCTCCAGAAGGTATATTTAAAGCCGTTGACTGTAGCCACAAAAAAGGAATGATGGATTATCCAGGTGCAACCTGAATGAGCCTCAAAAGCAGAATGCTAAATGAAAGGAGGCAGCTTCCTGTTGAAATGTCCAAACCTGTATCCGTAGTAGAAAGCAGATCCGTGGTTGGCAGGGACTGGGGGACGGGAATAGGGCAATGACTGCTTATGGATATCGGCTCCTCTTGAGGAGGTTTTGAAAATGTTGTGGAATTGGGCAGTGGACATGGTTGCACAACGTTGCAATTGTACCGATTTACTGTCAAATTATACACTTAATTAGGGTGTGGGAATTAATTTCATTTTAAAATTAAAATAAGCTCTATTTGCAAGTCTGTCTCAATTTTTTTCTTTCTCCTGAACATTTAATGTCTCTGGCCTCAGTTTCTAGGCTTCTCTTTGATTTCTTTTGGCCGATGACCAAGTGCAAAGACCCATGGGAAAACGCTGTAGTTTCTGCCCAGAGCAAATTCATATCATTTAGGGGCCCCCACTGTCACCCTCCTAACCTCTGCTGAGCCACCTCACTAGGAGGGGTTTGCTAGCTTCATTCCTCAGAGTTCTCTATTTATTGCCACTCTTGTTGCTTACACAGACACACACACACACACACACACACACACACACACACACACACACACACATACCATGGTAGTAGTCATGGCAGATCCTGGCCTGCATTTCAAAGTCAGAAGCTGAAGCCCAGCTGCCTCCTTGTCCTCTGTTGTCGTAGATCATGGTGCTTACAAATCACTCCATGTTTTTAAAGTTTGCTCATAGTGAATGCCATACCTGTGAACGCTTCACTCTGTGAATGCTACAGTCTGTGAATGCTAGTTTGTGAATGCTACACTCTGTGAATGCTGCAGTCTGTGAATGCCACACTCTGTGAATGTTACACTCTGTGAATGCTACACTCTGTGAATGCTACAGTCTGTGAATGCTACACTCTGTGAATGCTACAGTCTGTGAATGCTAGTTTGTGAATGCTACAGTCTGTGAATGCTAGTTTGTGAATGCTACACTCTGAATGCTACAGTCTGTGAATGCTAGTTTGTGAATGCTACACTCTGTGAATGCTACACTCTGTGAATGCTACACTTTGTGAATGCTATACTCTCTGAATGTCATACCCTGAAAGCTACTGTCTGTGAATGCTCAGGGAATGCTATGCCCTGTGAATGCTATGCCCTGGTTATCTTTTCAACAACCTGTCATCAAAATGATTTTGTTTTTCAGAACTTGCTATGTAGCCGAGGATGCCCTTGAACTTTTGATATTCCTGCTTCCACCTCCTGAGCGCTGGGATTCTAGGTGTGCACCACCTCAGCCAATGTCAAGAGGTGCTGTGGATCAAGTTCAGGGCTTTGTACATGCGAAGCAATCTCTACCAGCAGAACTGTATCTCCACCTTCCTTCGCTATTGTAATGATGGCCATGGCTTGGGGTTGGTCTGAAATGGCTTCTTGAGGACTGTGGGTTTGTTTGGGTCTCTCTTCTCCCTTCCTAGGACCCCCTTCCTGTGAGATTTCTCTAAGGCAGACATGACCCTGGCTCAGTATCCTCCGTGTATTTCTCTTAAGATGGCCATTGCAACCATCTCTGCAGCCATACTGCAGCCATACCCCGTTTTGCACGGTAGTGAAGGTTTCTTATGATGATGGTTCATCCTCACTGTCACCCTGACTGGCTGTCTCAGCCTCCCAGAGACGTTATAGCTAAGTTGGGAAAACCCACCCTAAACACAGCTAGTACCATCTCAGGGCCTGGGTATCCAGACTAAATTAAAAAGGGAAAAAGAAGAAGGCCGGATGAGCATGACTATTCATTTCTTCTTCCTGACTGTGGACACAGAGTGACAGGCCACTTCACACCCCACTGTCATGGGTCCCCTGCCAGGATAGACTGTATCCCCTCAGACAAGGAAAGGGAGTTTCCTTGGTCATCAACTTTCAGTCCAGCATGTGGCCCGCAAGCCTGAACCGTGAGAGCTGCTGTAGTTTGGGAGCCATCCATGCCTCCGTTCCTCCTTTCCACAGACTCCCACCACGCTCGTACTTGGTCAGGTGCTGTGCTGGGCGCCTTCACACGCTGCTTCGACCTTAAAACAGGACTGTAAAGCGAGGCAGTTGATTAGTGTTTGTTTATTTTTCCAGTAAGCAGCGGTGGAGATTGAGAGGTTTACTTTTTTATTTAAAGACATATTTATGTGTATGTATGTGTGCCTGTGTGCGTGTTTGTCCCTGTGGGTGTGGGTGCCTGCAGAAGCCAGAAGAGGGCATCAAATGCCCTGGAGTTGGAGTTACAGGCTGCTTGACATGGGTGCTGGAACTGAACTCACATCTGCTGGGAGAACAAGTGCTCCTAACCATGGAGCTATCTCTCTAGCTCCGGAAGGTTTAATAAACAGCCTGTTGAGGTCAGTTTTCCATGAGCATGCTCTAGGGGCCAGACAAAGGGGTGTATTTAGGAGTCCATCTAATCAAACCTCTAAGCTAAAGTCTGTGGCCCCCAATCCACACTGGTGCTCCAGTCCCACCTGCCCTGACCAGCTTGATGCCACTGAGGAACTTTCACTTGGGTTGGTATCATTATGGGTACAAGGCTGACCTCTGGTGGTCCTCACTTCTAATTTGCTCAGATCATTGATTGATCTGAAGGAGGAAAAAAAGTCCTCTGGGACCCTTGGGAGAAAGCGAATCAGACAAGACTGTTGTGGGAGCTCAGTCTGTAAGTAAGACTGCTACAGAATAGGGCGACAAGTGCAGAGGCCAAGATGTCATGAGCCATGACAGGAAAGGAAAGTACTTATCAAGCACCCACAAGGCACCACTCATCCAGAGCTCCCATCTGCTCTAAGGGGTTCCCTGGGAGATGCACCCACAGGCACCACTCATCCAGAGCTCCCATCTGCTCTAAGGGGTTCCCTGGGAGATGCACCCACAGGCACCACTCATCCAGAGCTCCCATCTGCCCTCAGGGGTTCCCTGGGATGCCACCCAGCATTTGTTAAGCAGCTAGGCAGGGCTAACACAACCTGGGCCACTTCCTCTCTGCCGCCTGCTGCACTCCGCTCAGCCCAGGGCAAGGCCCAGCACAAGAGAGACACAAGATCCTGGTGGATGAGAAGGAGGAGACACAGCTACTGGGAAGGGGCAGGCCTTTCTGGGAGAGGGAAGGCCAGAGCCTGCAAGAAGCACAGAGATGGAGAGACAGGTAGGCTGTTCCCACAGGAGCAGGGAGGCTGGGAAGGGAGGTAGTCAGGTTGGAGCACTCTGCCCCACACCCTAAGGAAGCCATGCCCCACACTAGGAAGCCCTGGCAGTCGGGGTTTTTTTTGTTTGTTTTGTTTTTTGTTTTTCCGAGACAGGGTTTCTCTGTGTGCCTGTCCTGGCTCTTGCTCTGTAGACTAGGCTGGCCTCGAACTCACAGAGATCCTTCTGGCTCTGCCTCCTCAGTGCAGGGATTAAAGGTGTGCACCACCGCTGCCTGGCACCCTGGCAGTCTCAAAGGGATAGGATCATATTAAATTTTTAAAGATCACTCTGTTTCCATGTGGACAATGGACTTGGGGCAGATTGTGTAGGATACTGTTGCTCTGCCCACGTGATACTAAGCCGAACAGGGTGTGGCATAGTGGGAGATCCTGATCAGCCAGGACAGATTGGTGCAAGAGGAGAGTCAAAGGTACCCCCTTTGGTTGGGGCAACTAGGTGTGTTTGTGTGGGGGTGCCAGCTACAGCTACTGCAAAAGGAAGCCTTGGAGCTGGGGATATAGCTCAGCTAACAGAGCATATGTTTAGCATGCATGAAACACTGGGTTTGGTCCCCAGTACCACATATAATCAGGCATGGTGGCACATACCCATAATCCAAGCACTCTAGAGGAGGACCCTAAGTTCATGGTCATCTTTGGCCATATATCAAGTGTCAGAGACCAAACATGGACCATGGAAAAGTACTAGCTAGGCCAGAGAACAAGCCCCTACCCTAAACCAGATGCCCCCCGAAGATAAAGAACAGGTCAGGCAGGTCAGGTAGCATAGCAACAGAACAATGGGCCCTGACCAGTGACCTTATCACCTAGCAGCCTCACGACTTGCACGACTTGCACGTAGCCCTTCACCTGCACGTACAGCAGGTCACGTCGTGCACCCCTTCCCTCCTTCCTGCCCCCTCTCATGCTATATAAGCCCTGCTGAGGAGAATAAAATTTGCAGCTTGATCAGAACACACTGTCCTGCTGTCCTCCTTTCGTGTCTCCCCCGTCCCTCTCATTCTCTCCCGCAGGTGGGTCGCCCCCGTTGACACCCCGCTGGCCGGGGCAATCAAGTCTGATATATCCTAGACTACATGAGAACCTGTCCGGGGTGGGGAAACACACAGGAAACCTTGCTGGAGGAGCATGCTCAGGAACAAGGGGAAGGTGACCTGCTTGTCCATTCATTTATTCAACACAATTACTAAGTGTTTCACTGTGTGCTGGGAATGGTGCTAGGTGCTGGGGATGCAGCAGGGAACTGGACAAACAGTGTATGCATCCCAACTGATGGAGGAGGGAGACTGGAAGAGAAATACTCACAATACAACCATCCCTCACTGACCACAGGGCACTGGTTCCAGGACCCTAGTGGACATACACACGTCTCTCCTGTCAAATGGTGCTGTGTCTCCATCTAGCCTGACACATCTTCCCAGGCACTTTATAGCCAGCCAGTGATGGGCACTGCAAGAACTCTCTCTGTCTGTGGGGACCAGACGCTTCTCACCCAGGAGGCCACCTAGTCAGAGCTCACAGGCAGCCCTGACCTATAATGGAATTCACACTCCAGGGGAGAGAAGTTGCCCCCCTGCCCCAGCCACTGTGGCAAGCATGGCGCTGGGCTCCATGTCCTGAATTCATTAAGCCACAGACACCAGAGCAATGTGGTTTCCCTTAATTAATTAAAATATCACATAATACACACTCTCTGGTTTAACGTTCATGAGGCCCCAGTGAAGGCTGAGAATAAGGGAAGTCATTAGAGGAGACTGGTCCCCGCTGGATGACTCTGATTGTCTGGCCTACATCCTCAATCTTGGGGGGCAGGAGGGCGGCATTTTCTAAAGATAGGAATTAATTTCATTGCAAAACCTGTTGGAAAAATATCCATCATACTAAAACCCAGCTCTTCAGTGGTTTAGCACAAAAAGTGAATACCTCTGGAGTTGAATACAGGCTTCAGCACTACTGTGGCACCCCTCCCTGTGGAGAATACTCCAAGACTCCACAAGACACCTTTCAGACTGTTTCATCTGTGTGTGTACACATCTGTGCAGATAAGTAAGTGTA